AGTCCCCTGCCCAGCTCCATCCCTGTTCCCACCCACCCAGCCCCGCTCTTACCTCCTGCAGCCGCCTCGGCTCCCCTCCGGCGCCGGCCTCTCTGGAGCAGGTAGCAAGCCCCCACGTTGAGGAGGAGGAGGAGGAGGAGGACAGCGAGCACGATGCAGGCCATGAGGCCGGGGCTCAGACACTGGCACTCGCCACCGCCTGAGGGACAACAGGGGCTGGGGTCACCGCAGCCTCCCCGGACTCGTCTCCTGGCGCGTCTCTGCCTCACCCTGCCAGCAGTGCCCCCGGAGGAGCTCCAGGGCTGGACCCAAGAGGGGAAATCAAGCTGTGCTGGGTTCCCGCTGACCCTGCTCATGCACCCCGGGCACGCACCAGCCCTGCTGCCAGCTTGGTGCTGGGGGGCCCTGTATCCCCCATGACCTCCGTGATGACCATCCTCTGCTGGGCCTGCGGGGGGCAGAGTTCCAACCCTCCCCTGCCTGCAGATTTCCTCTCGGGGCCCCCCGGCACTTACACTGCACGGTGATGGTGATGGGGGGGGACTGGGACTGGCCGATCCCGTTGGCGACCTGGCACCGATATTCCCCAGCTTGCTCTGCTGTGATGCTCTTCAGCAGCAATTCCTGCCGGGATCCCTCCAGCTTCTTGCCATTCCAATACCAGGCGTAGGAGATAGGGGCGGGGAGGCTGCTACTGTGATCGCACCTTAGTATCACCGAGTCCCCATCTTGCAGGGCAGTGCGCGGCGCGGCCACAACATGGACCCCTTTGGGGGAGAGCGAGACGCGAGTGTGATCAGAGAGAGACAGCATGGGGGGGCCGGGCCCATCGAGAGGGGGGAAAGATGCAGACAGGGGGTGAGGGGCAGGGCCTGGCCCCAGTGGCTCCAGGGGGCCAGAGCAGGAAGGAGAGGAACAGGCTAAGGGGAAGAGATCCCCCCGTAAAAGTCTGGAAGGTCAAGGGAAGGAAGACACAGTCCCTGGACAATATGTGTGTGCGGGAGGTAAGGAGGAGATAGGGCTTGTCCCAAACTTAATTGGGGCTCTGAGCAGGGGAGGGGGTAGAAGCTGCCCCAGAAGTGTCCAGGGACAGAAGGCTGGTGGAAGGGCTGCACCTGGCCCAGTGGGTAATAGGGGTCAGGGCAGGCAGCGGATGGGCTGCGGCCTGGGCAGGGCTGGGGGCCCAGGGCAGGCGTGGGGGGCGGAGATGGGGGCTCACTGATGGCGTCACATTACTGGATTTTAAAGGGAGCAGCCAGATCACTGCTGTACCCCCAAGGGGGTGTTTGCCCCAAAGTCCGTACAAAGGGGGCCATGTGAGGTGTCCAATGAAAGCCTCTGTTCTACTGACTCTATGTGTGCTAGTCAGGGGCAGCCCGTGGCTATAGGCGGACTCAGCCGCTGCCTAAGGTGCCACCACCCGAGGCACCCGATGATGATGTCAGTCCATTGACAGCCATGCAGGCGGGGGCTAGGGGTCACTCCTGGTGCTAGTTATGTACCTGTGTGATATCTGTATGTGGAGTTATCAGTGTGGACTCTGTGCTCATACCGTGAGTGTTCTCTGCCTGAGACAGAGCAGTGGGCCTGGAATGTCCAGTTAATGATTATGCTAATTAGCACAGGTCCAGGGTCAATGGCTCTCAAGGTGCCCAACACACACCTGAGGAATGTGTTTGGGACCTGCAAACCAGCCAGTATCTAATGGCCGCTGACACGGGACACAGGGATAGGTCACTTGACCATGTGACTGCTAGGAGAGAGATATAAATGCCATGTGGCAATCTCCACCTTGTCTGCAATTTTGCTACTGATGCAGCCTTGCGAGGGACAGCGCGTTGGGAAGGACTGTGGACCAGTCCTGACAGGGGATGTGCACCAGAGACTTTAAAGCCATCAGTTCTAACATCTCTGCTAAGAGTCTGCATCAGGAACTTGCTGATTGGTGCATGTGATGTATTCTCCTTAACTTTACTCTCAACCTTTTCTTTCTTTTGCTAATAAACCGTTAGATTTTAGATTCTAAAAGGATTGGCCCAGCGTCCTCTTGTGGGTAAGATCCAGAGTATAAATTGACTGGGAATCTTTGGCTGGTTTCTTGGGACCGGAAGAACCCCTTTGGGGTAGGTGAGATTGGGTTCTACAACCCCTCATCTGTGTTAAAAGCCCAGGGCTCATTGTGGCACAGGGAGAGCTGGGGTGTCCAGGACTGACCCTTGGGGGACACCACTAGTTACCCCTCTCTATTCTAAAAATTTATCATTTATTCCTACACTTTGTTTCCTGTCTTTTAACCAGTTCTCAATCCAAGAAAGGACCTTCCCTCTTATCCCATGGCCATGTAATTTACACAAGAGCCTTTGGTGAGAGACCTTGTCAAAGGCTTTCTGAAAATGTAAGTATACTATATCTACTGGATCCCCCTTGTCTGCATGTTTGTTAACCCCTTCAAAGAACTCTAAGGGTACGTCTAGACTACAGGGTTTTGTTGACAGAAGTTTTGTCGACAGATACTGTCGACGAAACTTCTGTCGACAAAGAGCATCTGGACTACATCCAGTTCTGTCGACAAAGCAAGCCGCTTTGTCGACATAACAGTGTGGACGCAAAGGACAGTGTAGATGCAATAATGCATTCTATCGACAGAACTCTGTCCACAAAAGGCGTTATTCCTCGTAGAATGAGGTTTACATACGTCGACAAAACTGCTGAGTTTTGTCGACGTTATGTCGACATAACTCAAAGGCAGTCTGGACGCAGGTATAGTTTTGTCAACAAAAGTCCACTTGCAATGGGTGCACACATACGCCACCCGCCCACAGGGCAGGTAATCATACATGTTACACTCGACGCAATAAACAGGATAGCCCCCACTCTGCTGCTGGGCTTCTGTCTCCATTTTTCTTATGAATAAGTTTAAGTATAAACTGGGCTTCTTATTACATGTCTGGAATATAGATTATTATAAAAGTTATGTTTAAAGAAGGTCATAAGTCATTAGTGCCCTCTAACCTCCCTCTTCAAACTCCCTGTTAGCTGCTCCTGGTTGCTGACTCACAGGCTTATAAAGCCCTGGTAGCCCCTCCTCCTGCCAGGCTCAGCCAATTAACAGAGGCTTCTAGATTTCAAATCTTTTAGAAGCTCCTTCAAACAAACAAACAAACAAAAGCTCATCACACAGCAAATAACCCTCCCTTCCCCCACACACAAACACACACTCCAGACAGCCACTTACCACAAGGGTCCCCCTATTTACTCCTCTTTTACCTGGAGAACTCCCTCTCCAAACTCCCTATTAACTGCTGTATCCCCAGGGGGGTGTTTGCCCCAAAATCCGTACAAAGGGGGCCATGTGAGGTGTCCAATGAAAGCTTCTGTTCTACTGATTCTATGTGTGCTACTCAGGGATCTGTGTGGTATCTGTATGTGGAGTTATCAGTGTGGACTCTGTGCTTATACTGGGAATGTTCTATGTCTCAGAGAGAGAACAATGGGCCTGGAATATCCAGTTAATGACGATGCTAATTAGCACAGGTCCAGGGACAATGGCTCTCAAGCTGCCCAACACACACCTGAGGAATGTGTTTGGGACCTGCAAACCAGCCAGTATCTAATGGCCGCTGACACGGGACACAGGGATAGGTCACTATATCTAGGAGAGATATAAATGCCATGTGGCAATCTCCATCTTGTCTGCAATTTTGTCCCTGTGCTGTTGAGGCTTCGGGGGCTTTGGGCAAAACAGCGAAATATTTCAGCCCCAAGCCTGAGGCACCCAGGACCAAAGATTTGCTCCCCATGTAGGGGGCCGATTCACCCGCTGACACGGGACACAGGGATAGGTCACTATATCTAGGAGAGATATAAATGCCATGTGGCAATCTCCATCTTGTCTGCAATTTTGTCCCTGTGCTGTTGAGGCTTCGGGGGCTTTGGGCAAAACAGCGAAATATTTCAGCCCCAAGCCTGAGGCACCCAGGACCAAAGATTTGCTCCCCATGTAGGGGGCCGATTCACGCGGACAGGGAGACACGGCTCCCAGGCTGGTCACTGTGTCGCTGGTCCGTGCTGTGACCCAGGAGTAGGGAACCTAAAACCCGGGAGCCAGATGTGGCCCCCGCCTTGCCTGTAGCTGGCCCACACTATGTGGCCTCCGCCTTGCCTGGAGCTGGCCCACACTGGCTCTCCTGTCTCCCCACTGCCCCACGTGGGGCTGGAGCACACAAAACCTGCTATCCTGGCCCCCCCGCCCCAAGGCTCTGGTGTGCGAGGGCAATGTGTGGGGGTGTCTTTCCCCTTCTCGGTCGGGGCCACCTCAGCGAGCGTTTGGTTGGGTTTTTTGGTGCTTCTCCCTAGTGCGTGACCGTGGCCCCCAACTGATTTTTCTGTGCGTCAATGGCCCTTGGCCCAAAAAGTTTCCCCATTCCTGCCGTGTAGCTGTTCACGCCCTTCCGGACGCCCTGAGCGAGGCCGCCAGGCCCAGGGTCAATGCCCTGGTCTCTGCAGTAGCCCAGGTCGGGCCGGGCTAAGCCAGGGGCTTTAGGGGCTGTGGCTCAGCACCTGGCTCAGGGGGTCCCCGCATAAAGCTCCCGGAGAGCCCAGAGTGCTGGTCTCATTGCAGGAGCCCTTAGCCCGGGGCCCTGGGCTGCAGACACTAGAGTACTTTTATATTAATCCAGCTGATGGATGATGGGGAAAAGATAGCTCCCTGTGCTGCTTCACCTCTGCCTTGCCCCACTGGGTTGGAGTAGCATGAGAATCAGGGGAAGCTCCAAATGCTCCCTCCGCACACTGCCTTTGCCTAAAAGCACCACCCCCCACAGCTCCCATTAGCCAAGAATCAAAGCCAGTAGGAGCTGTAGGGGCAGCACCAGGCATAGCCAGCACATGGAA